TTCAACAACCTTAACTCACACTAAGAAAAAAAAAATATCTTCTTTCAGCTATCTTTTTAAGGAGAGAAATTCCATTTTTCTAACTTAAGAAAAGAATCGTCTTGCAACAAGTTAATATAAAGGAGAAAAATGCAACATCTTCATGCAATCATTTTACAAATTGTTACCTTATCAATTTATTTTGAAATTTATTAATGGAAGAACGAAACACTTAGTGACGGAAATTTAACCCGAGTAAAAAAGGAAATAAAAAAAAAGAAATTATTCTCAGTTAAGTGTTGTGTAACGGGTCAAAATGAAATTATTATATTATAAAAAGTCGTTTGAAACGAGTTCGTTGATGAGCACCTGCTCGATATCCACAAATTAATTCTTATAGATAAGCTTCGGAGAACGTCAACCTTCTCCATTAGATCTTGTTATGTTGTTATTCGATAACAGACATACCAAGAATTTTTTTTATTTTTATTTTTTAAGAGAAAAATTAACTTTACACTTCCGGAAAATAAATGATCTATAAATAATAATAGCATTTTTCGAAAATTTCGAATCAAAGAAGTTGATGATTTCTATGTCATTTACATTATAAAATATAGTTATACCTCGATATAACGACACCACTGTTCAGTTTCCTAAATCAAAGAGTCCAGAACAATAAGAATTATATAAAAAGGTGACGTCTATAAACAAGTTTAAAGTTTTAATGTTTGAAAGTTACGTGATTTACGATGATAACAATTCACTTTGCAATATAAAATCGTACGTTTAGTTAATTCTTTACGTAATATTTAACAAGGAGATAGATTCGTTGGCGTTTTATGAGGGTGTCTCTATATCGAGGTTTGATAATTTTATACATTATAACTTTAATTTCTATATAATTTTCTATCAATGCAAATGGTGTAAAAGCAGTAAACATAACGTTTAAATAATAATTATTTTAAGCATGTTCTTGTCATTGTATATAAAAGAATTTTATGTTGATGAGATTGTTTTTCTTTTTATTTAAGATATTTTTCCTTGATATTTACATAACTAAAAATAAATTATTCAAAATGTAAAAGAATATGATATTCATCACATATGAATTTATTATAATGTTAAGAAGTTAAAAGTTATGTTTATTTTATTTTTTAGTAAATTTGTAAAATTACTTTTGCAAGTACTTAATTGGAATTAATTAAAAGTTATCATATTGCAATTTACTATGTTGAAATTTATTGTAAATTTTTAGCATTACTGCAATTTTTTTAGAACTTATTGGAGTTATTTTATTGAATTTATTAATTGCTGCTTTATTAGAAGTAATTAAAAGTTACAATGTTGGAATATTAAAAATTATTAAAATTAATTAGAGATTATTTTACTAGAATTTTTTTAAAAATTACTTCTAATTTTAATAAATAAATTTTCATATGTTTATATAAATGTGTACTAAAAAAAAAGAATTAAATTAATAGAACATTTTAATAAAAACAATACAAATTACAGGATAAATATAAATTAATTTATCATCTAATTAGATATAAATAATAAATTAAATATTACATATAATAATAATAATAATGATAGTAATTGTTAAAAATTCTTTCAATGAATTTATAAACCAAATGAATTTAAATTATATTCTACAGGAAAACATAATTTAAAAAAATTATTTTCCTGTAATAAAATTATTCTTTTATAAATTATTCTTGACAATTATTCTAGAAGGAAAATTTTCAACAAATCAAAGGAGATAAGATCTTGAATTTAGTAAATGGCTACAATAAAGGACAAGCTGATAGGAAGAAGACGAAGGGGGTAAGTTCAAAGAAAAAATAAAAAAATCAAATTCCTACTTTTCTATTTGACTAAGCATAATTATAGAATGGGAAGTTTTATTCTTTAAGTAATCAAAAAACCAGTTTAAACATTAATGCAATCGATTCTTTGTTTGTGACAAACATTAGGGAAATCCCCTACTTGTACAATGTCAATCTTTGTATATAAGTTAGTACATGCAAGTTATTTTTCAAATACTGTAAATAATTTTATCTACCTTTCAATCTTATCTTTATATATATATACATATACACTTCTTTCTTTGTTTAAACCCGTCAAAAGTCATTAACTTTAAATTGCATTTTAATTTTAAAATTGTTAATTTTTTTTTTCTTCCCTATCCTATGGCATTTGTCACGTTAATTGAGAATTGTACTTAGTTTCTATACACTTCTTCTTATCTTTACTAATCGCTGTAAGATTCTATCTACTATATTTTGAAGTAGAAATGTGTTTGAAGTTGAAGAGCTTCATTCTTTAAATGGTTTCTGCATCCTTCTATGATTAATCCCTACTTCAATGCCTATCTATATACTTCAAATGCTTCCGTTTTTAAAAATGGAGAGTAGTTTTTATCTATTTTAAATCTTGTATTTTGTTAATAAGATTTTAAACACAAAAAAAAACTGCAGATTTTTTCTCTTCTTAAGAGTATGGACTTAGATTTAATTATATTTATGTTTATTAATTTTAAATATGGAAGAATGTAATGTTGAAGTAATCAATTCTGATATTTTTTTTCAATATTTTATCTAATATATTTTGAAGCATACAGTAAATGTGTTTGAAGCTAAAACACACATTACATAAATGGTTTTCTACATCCATAAACAATCTAACTATGATTAATTCTTACTTAAATGCTCTTAAGTTTCCATTTTAAAAATGGAAATAAATTTAATTTAATTTAAATCAATCCCCTCTCATTTATAACATTTCAAACACTATAAAATCTTATAAAAATATCCCAACCCTTACTATCATCCTTCACCCTACTTTCAACCTTCTTAGTAGTGATTTAAATTTAATTAATCTAAATTTAGATTAATGAATTCTAAACATGAAAGAATTTAATCAACTCGAGATATTTATTTATTTATTATATATTTTTAAAATAATAAAACATTAAGCTAGAAGCCAAATCAACATTTGAACACATTTAACACAGAAGAGCTGTTAACAACGTAGAATTAATCATTATTTGACAACTTTGGCGGCAAGTCAAGTATTAAATAACAATTTTAGTAATTCATTAATTATGCATATAGTGTATTAAGTCACGCAACGATCAGTCTTCTTTTAATTAGTAAGTGTAACAAATAATGTGAATCCAAAAACACTAATTGATCTAGGAGTTTAAACACATATTGTCAATAGGAATAATTGATTAGTACTTATAATTAGATGATGACAACAGAAAACTTTGTGTTGTGTTTTGTCTAATTTTTGAGGGCGCTTAAATGCATTTAAGACACTTAAACTTCACAATTTTAATTTTAGCATCATTAAAAATAAATTATACATAAGAAGAAGCGTGGGAGTTTCATAGATCTATCCATTGTCAAGGGATAAATTTTGCAATGTGGATATGAGAAATTGTAATTTTTTAAAGTAAAATTACTTATATATAGTAAATTAATACATAATTAGTACATATACTATAACATATATAGTTATATATTATGTACAGTACATAATATAATATATATTAGTATTATTATTATTATAATTACAAGATTTATTGTAATTAGTATGCATGTGCTGTGAATCAATTTGTAATATTTTTAATTTATAATATATTTTCCCAATATTACAAATTAAAAAATTATAAATTTAAGTTATAAAAAATATAATTTTTATTCAATATTATAAATTAATTTTTTTTAATTAAATTTTCTGATTCTAATTAAGAAAGAAAAAAAAAAAAGAAGAAGAGGAGGAGGAGGATAGATTATTATAATTCCAAACCAAGATTACACCCAAATATTTTATGATTATTAATAAGGAGATAAGTGAAAAAAGAAGAAGAGTAATATTTAATCATCCAAGATGATAAATTGAAAGCAATGACATCCATTAAACATTTTGAAAGAATTTTGTCTCATACCCTTTAATAACAAGATATATAATTAGATAACTCATTACAGTCTTCTTAGTGGCAAAGATGAATATTCTAAACATGAATGAAGTATTCTTATCAAAACATTGAATGTTAAGGGGTGGGTGCTTAATAGCTTTGTTGTTATCTTCTCAAGAATTGCACTCTTAAAATATATTATACAATATAATGTTCGTGTAATCGATAGTCTTTCATTAAACAAAATTGATTTTTTTTTCTTCTTTTTGGAATATTAATTAGATTTTGTGCTTCTTTATAAAATTATTTTTGGTGTACAAATTGAATTGCTGATTTTCTTTTTAAATTTTTTTTTTTGAAGGGTAGAAGTTGAATTAATGATTTTTTATTTCTGGAATATAAATTGAATTGCTTATTTTCTTTTTAATTTTTGCAGTAAATTTGGGTTTCTTCTATACTGTTTTAATGATTAATACTATAATTAACATTAATTAAAGATAATTTAAATTAATATATTTTTAAACTAAATAATTCATAGTATTTTATATATTAATTTAAAAAAATTTTAATTTTGTAGGTACACTGTAAAGTACAGTACTATACATGTATAGTATATGTGTAATTTATATACAGATATTTAAATAAAATAATTAAAAATTAAATTATCGTTATTTAATTTATAGTTTGATTAATGTTTTTTTTCTCCCTAAATATTATAGATTAATTTTATTATTTTTATTTTTATGGGAATTTTTAATAAATTATTGAATAAATTTAAAAAATTAGTTTAAATTGTTAATCGAAATCGAAGCAGTGTCTCCATCTAGCGACAAATTTTAAAGTTGTAAAAAAACACGAAAAATAATCCGTAATTTTAAATTAATCAATTCAATTGCTTTTAATTTTTCTTTATTTCTTTTTATAAAATATTAAATTATAAAATTTATCTTTCTATATAATTCATAAATATATATATTTTTCGTTTTATAATAATAAAATTGTGCTGTACGAGTGGACAATTTCTAAATTACATCTTATTTAATGAATTCCTATTCGTTTTAGATTATTTCCCTTTTTTTTAAATAAGAAATTAATAAATTAATTATTTTTTTCGCTATTATTTAAAAAAATTTTATACGATTTTATGTTTGTCAAGTGATATACAACCGGATATGATGTAACGCGCAGTGCAGTATGGACTGTGTTGCAACGTGGGAATGCAGTGGTTATGTTTATAAATAATTACATTAATTGAGAAAATAATTTTTGAATATTGTTATATATTAAATAGTGCAAAAAATGACGTCGAAATTGCAAAAATTAGATGACGAATACAAGAACTTAATAGGAGAAGTAAGTTGCATATTCAGGTGTATATATTGTACAATATTGTATATTATTCTTGTGTATTATACACGTGTATATTATTATATATTGTATTAAATTGTATACTTTTGCTATTTCTTTACAAATGAAGTATCTAACTACCCATATTTTTATGTATGATTTTTTTTAAATACATTAATTTTATTTATTCTTTAGTATAATATCATGAAATGTAGACTTGATAGCAAAACTGAAGCACTTTTGATATTAAGTAAAGAATTAGATAAATATAGAAGTGAGAGAGATCAGTTTAAATTGATGGCAAGTCAATTGAGAGAAAGATACAATGCTCTTAAGAAAAGGATCGAAGGTTGGGTAAGTTAAAGATATTATATAAATTCTCTGTATTATGAAATTAAGTTGACTTATTGATTAAAAGAAACACGGTCTGTGGAGTTGGTACACATTTGCTTCAACTTCGGCTCTGACTCCTTTATTTAATTAAAGCAATAAGTGAGGTGTATGTCAAGCAGCTTGAGAAAAAACTCAATCTTTTGATGGTAACAAAAACAGAATTTTTTAATGTTAAACTTCAAACATTTTAGATGAATTCAGATCATTGTCATCAGGAAAGGTGACTGGAACAAGATAAAGAATCACACACGAAGAAGAATATTATGAATTTGAAGTTGATTTAGTCCCTTTTCCAGGGGGCTACGAAATTCTCAGACAAATATTTCTCTTTCCCAGTCAGCACTGCCCCTATTAGCTATAGTCCAAGTGTAAAAAATTAACAGTAGTCTAAGTTTACTTGATGGAAACAAAGCATATATTAAGTATATTGCATGTGGGCATTGCTGACTAAGCTGAGGGGGCTTAGCCATCTCATAATTCCCTGTAGCTATGGCTCTGAGTTGATTACATATACAATGAATATTAAAAGATTAAAAGTGATATAAATAATAACTTGTTAACAAATATAATAAGTAAATAATGTACAAAGATGTAAGATATCTAATTTTACAAAATAGATGTAAATGCTTTATACTCATCAATCCCAATTTTTGAAGTCTTTATGTTATTTAAAATGCTATTAATAGATAAAGATTGGTCAATCAATAAGTTTTGTTAATCAAAGATTTGTTAGACTTAATTGTAAACAACAATTACTTTATATTAAGAGAAATAAACAAAACCTTTTTTAACCAGTAATTGAATTTTTGACGTAATTTCTGAATGTTTTCGGCCTTCACCAAGCCTGCTTCAGGTAAAATATCTATTTTCAGAAACAGGGATATGTGTGTGCTCTTCCTTATCAGCTGCCTAAGCTGAGATTGTAATGCATAAATTAGTTTTGTGTTTGAAATATCCACTTATCATTAGGTATTCATTGTTCTACTTGAGATATGTAGGTGATGCCATCATAGCTTGGGATGGCATGTTCAAATAGTTTTAAACATTTGTTAAGTTTTAAATAACGTTTATCCATCTATGGTTTATGGTATAAAATGATAAAAGTAACAATTCCATTAGTTTTCTGGACCTGTCAATGCAAATTGGCACAAATGTATTGAAATTCAGTGTTTTTCACAAGTTTATTTTTTTTTATCCCTAGTCATTCCTTGCAATTCATTACAACCTTCTGCATTTAAGCACACGGCTATTAGTTCCTTAATTAGAAGGACTTTGATATTAACTTCCAATGTATACTTATTACAAGGTGGACTTAATATAATCCAGAAGGTCATATGAAAGGCTGAATACTGTCAAAGTAAATATAAGTCTATTGACAATAAGATTTATTGGGCTTTACACCTAATTTCAAATTTGTTCATATGCTAGCAGAGACAATTGTATAATGCATCTATTCCACAAGTGAGAACTTTGTCCTAAAAGTTGCTCTTTTGCACATTCAATTATATTCTTCCACATACATCTCAACAAGAAATCAAAATATTAGTTGTAAACAATAGGACCAAGGTGCATTTCTGAGATAACAGATATTTACAAAAATAAATTTAAAATGATTAATGCTAATGAATGATAATTGCATTGTACTCCTGTTAATTGTTGTGAGTTAGACCTGATGTATTTATATACATAAATTTACACACAGTATATCAGGTTTACCTCACAACAATTGTCAGAATAGAAGAAAATCAAAAATCTATAGCACAAGGTATAAAAGACACAGAACTTGCTAAATCAGTTATTGATTACAACTATGACCTCAATTAGAATACCTTCTCCATTACTAAGACACTTTAGGACACTAAAATGCTTTATTTTTGGTAAACTGTTCAAATACTTCCAGTTTTATAAACACAAGCTCATACTCCTGTTTACTGATTTTTGGAATGAGATAATCAATCTCATGTGACAATTTTTTTAACTGTGATGTTTTGTTATTGGTTTGATCACATCCCATCATACATTTGTCTGTACCAGTATACCATGTAAACTGTAATTTATACCATATTTAATCTGTATGTATTCATTGCACATATAATTGACTTCAAATTGACAATGATCTTCTGCATAAGACATTTTTTGTTGGTCTTGTTCTATATGGTTTTCTTGATGATGACAATCTGAATTTATCAGAAACATTTGAAGTTTAATATTAAAGAATTTTGTATTTATTAACACCAAAAGATTGAGTTACTTTTAAGTTACGTTATTTATATATCAATATATGATATAAATATACTAATAATATATTTTTTACGTCGGTTGAATGCATGAAACATGCAACAAGGCATCTTACTGAAATTACTGAATGTTATTTACAAACATTCAGTAATTTTAAAGTTTAAAGAAAAGACAAGACTTACAAAATAAAACAATAAAGTTATATTTTTATTAAAACACTATAAAATAATAGGATATAATAGAAAGAAACTAAAAGAAAATCAGGAACAACTTTCTCTATCAGTTCTCTTCCTTTTTGAGAATATATTGTTTGAATATAAAAAAATAACCTGAAAAAATAGGTTAATCAAATAGTGCTCAAACTATGTCCCATGAGACAGGTTAATATGTGATATAAGAAATTTTAGTGTATACTATTTATATTACAATTTAAATTTATTGGGAGCCATTTTTACTTACCCCAGTTGCTCAAGAATTGCTTTTGACTGACTCCATGGCCCTGAAAGAAATTATTATATTTGATCAACAGTTTATCCGACAGTGGTCAAACTGGCTCACAAGCCACATATGGTTGTTTGAGATCTTTACTACAGCTCCCCTACACTTACAGTATACAGTTTTTTTTTTATAAACTTGATAAATATTACTTAACATGTAATATTTTTGTAAATTTGCTGCCATTACATAGTGTGATGTAAATATAGATTGTAAGTGTAACTCCTAACTTATCCCTGAAAGTTAAGAGTACATTTGTAAAGTCAAAGGAGTTAAATGATTGTTTACACAGCCAGTTATAAATTACCAATAAAATAAAAAAACAGTGGTATTTACTATAGAACATAGAAAGTGATAACTAAAGTATTTTATCTATCTGTAATATACTATTCCAATAGAGGATGTATTTTTTGCATATTTCTGATAAGTTTGTGTTTAAATTTGTGTGTTACATATTATGGATAGTATGTTAAACTGTAATTGAATGAATTGTATTCCTAGTTAAGAGTCATACTCTGTCCTAAGGATGGTGCAAGAAACTTGCTGTGTATATACATCAATGATTGTATAATATAAAAATTGGCTTTTTTTATAATTAAAGATACAAGTATTTCTTAATATCGATAATTAAATTAATTTTTAAAACATCAACTATATCATTTGCATGATACTTAATGTCAAATTATTCATATCACTTAATAAATTTTATCTATAAGTCAATGAGTAATACAATATAATTTTGTAGAATTTTATCATGAAATTAATTTTATATTAATTTTTAAAAACTGTAAATTATATTTTTGTTATATTACTATTTAATTTTTGTTTTATTTTATTAATAATTATATTTAATAGGGTCCATCATTACTAGGAGTATATGATATTAGAGGCTTTAAAGGTGATAGAGAACAAGTATGTATATTTATTATAAATCAGAAGTGAAACATTCTTAAAACATAAATATTTAATATATATTCAACTAAATGATAAAGTTTTAAAATAATTTTACTAAATATTTCTTTCTTTAATCATTTGCCATTCATATTGCTAATTTATAATTTTTTTTTTTTATGAAGAACTTTCACTGTCTTATTTGTAGCTCTACTTGTTTATATGCATGTTCTATGCCAGTGCTGCCCAAACTATGTCCCATGGCTCAGGTGAATGCAGCCTGTGAACATATTTGACACATTACTTAATTATAAATGGTCAACTTTTAGTATATATGGAACATACAAAACATTTATCATCCACCTACCTATTACTTATATGCTATTTGATTCATCAATTGAAAAGTTGGGCACCACTGTTCTATATATACAATATAATCAAATGCATAGACAATCTTTATCCTTTCAATGATGGCACTTGTGTAAATGAGATATTTTGTAGACAAAATGGATAACAAATATTGAACAGTGAATAGACAATACTCAAATTAGCTAGCTTAATATATATTATACAATTGCTCTGTATTCAGTAGAATTTTATGATTATTCTTATTAGAAGTTAATTTATCTATATATTTAAATGTGAATGTTTGTTTGTTCACTATATACTCCTAGACAATTCAACCAATTGCTATGAAACTCAACAGTTATGTTTCTAACTTAGATATGTCATACATTCCACCCCAAAATATTGATTGGATTTTTATAAATCAATCAATTGCTATCTACATTTAATTTGCTATTGGAAAAAATTTAAGGAAATAATAAACTAAATATAATTTTTACAAAAAAGGATATAATTTAAAAATATATATATTATATTATAATCACTTAATTACTGTGACAATGATACATTGCAAAATAGACAAGCTGTGGTCTAAACTGGAAGTTTGTATATAGTTGATCTGGGCTTCCTGTCTCTAAGTTTTCCACATCTGGTCTCGATTTTTATCTATCTAACTCCATTCTCTAGATTAAGGACAGACGGACAGACAGGCAGATGACAGTCGGAATTATAGGTCTACAATTTTTTTAAACTGCAGCCCAATAATTTTTCTATAAACACAATATTTACAAGAACATACTTTCCACATAGTTTATACAATCTGTTGCCAAAATTTAAACACTTTATTATCATATAAAAGCAGTTATTCTCTCATTTTTACAAGATTTTTTTATTTAAACAAGTCATATGAAGTCTTTAGGACATTAAGGTTAGAAACTTTGATCACATGTGAGACCATTACATCCTACCAACATGGATCACTTTTCAAATGTCAATAGTAGACCAGTATTAATTAGTAGTCATTGACCATTCTCTTGTCTGTGGGGAGGTCAACAATTACTTTTGATTGCATTTACTTCAACCCTCTTCTGCAACACTACCTTCTTCCTATTGGACTCACCAGTATGGTGGCATTCAAATAGAAAAATTACATAATATAAAGTTACCAGCCTGCACAAGATATGACTTAAGTGGTTTTCAAGGGTGCCGAGTTTAAATATTTGGTTCATTTTTTGTGAAATTTGATTGGTTGTTAGATGACCATTTGATATTTGGCTGTGAATGGTACTGTACAGTTTCTTAGAACATTAGGAAAAACTATGATATCTTAAAAAATTTAATATATCATATTTTCAATTGTTGTCTATTTGACCAACGAAATTGTACCATTTTGTACTATCTGAGTATTGCAATAAATGTGACAATGGTAGGCTGAAATAACAAAAATCTTTATATGATTTTTGTTTTAATGTTTATATTGTAGTATTTGTTTTATATAACTACAAAGGTTATCTTACAAAAGGACTTATAACATCAAGTGATCAATCTAACACATTTTAAAAGTTATATAATATATTATATTATATTATTATTATATTTCTATAATATATTATAGTATATTATAAATAACAGCAAAGATTAAGATTATTACATTATTTTGTACTTCTAACCCTTCTATTATAATATAACAGAAGGATTAGAAGTACAAAATAATGTAATAATATTAATCTTTGCTGTTACTTTATGCCTGAGTAATGCCAAGCAAAAAATAACTGGGAAGTAAACGCTCATCTGCTAGTTTACTATATATTGTATAATTCATTTTTACTCTTTAATAGTTACAATAAAATTATTGGGAATATTCCTTCAACTTATCTCATGTATAAATTTTTAAATGAATTACAAATATTTTCTCTTTAGTAACTCTATAATTAAATGTATTAATAGTGTATTTAGTATTTCAAAATAGAAATTAAAACAATGATGGATGAGCAATTATTTATTGTGACATCATCACAATGCCAGGCTTCAATTTTTTATCACAATGCTCTCAATTTTAGTAGTGTCTTGCACCTGTACATCATACTTTTCCTGTTAACAATGGAGTTGTGCTGGTAATCTATCTAATTCTGTTTAGGAGAAAAGTTTGAATTGAAATAATGTGACTTTTGGTTTAAACTGGAAGTTCATATATCATTAGTTGGAACCTTCTGCCCCTAAGTTTTCCATTTCTAGTCTCAATTTTCATCTAACCCTGTTCTCAAGATTAAGGAAGGACAGATAGATAAATGGATGCCAGTGGAAATTTATAGGTCTACAATTTTTGACAGTTGTAGCCCAAAAATATAAAGTTTAAACATAGGAGCTTCTTTTTATGAACTTTAATGTTTGCATTTTTATTAATTAAAAATCTGTTATTGTTTGATGATTGACTATCAATTGATTCATTCCACTGTAAGTTGTCTTTTAGTATGTCATTCTTATATTAAATTTCATATTATTACTATAACATTCAGTTTAATTTTTCTGTATCATATCCTCTTTATTATAAAACTATTAAATGTTGAATATACTGAGTTTAAATTATTAAATATATGTCTGATAATGGAGGAGTGCCTGAATATTAATGTCAGATAGTATATCCTATCAGTAATTAAAGACATTCTTCTAAAGTAATATATTTGATTGATTCCAATATTGCTACAAATTATTTGTGACAAAATCAATTTATTCTGTTCTCGGTACAGTGGGTGATCGGTTAACAAACAAATCGGATAACGAACACTTTCACAAAAGATTTTTATGTTTGGACAACGAACACATGATTGATAACGAACACCCCACAAAATAAACACAATAAGAAGCGATGTAAAGTAATGAATACCGATTGGTCTTCCCTTGTCTTCAGGCAACAATTCGAAACTTTTCAGAGTGTGGGAGACATCGACATCGACGCTCAAGCTGGTATATACCGATCGGATAGTATTCCTCTGAACTTTGAAACTTTCCCTTGTAATTCCAGCCTTTTATTTTTCTGACAAAACAATTCTTTTATGTATTCGCGAGACTGTCGGGTAGGCATTCGTTAAGTTTTGTGTCTGTTTTTCTTTACGAAAGGTGAGAGTATAATAGCAAAGGTAGAAAGTGGGCAGAAGATGCCTAATGTTGCTGGGTAGTATGGTGTGAACAGGTCTACAGTAGGCCGCAGTTCAATCTTATTTAAGAAAAATACTGTATAATCAAGAAGACTCAAGCAGCTAAAGGAGTAACAAAAATCACATCTGAGAAATAAAGAACATCGAAGAGTTCATAATGGAACCTGAAACTGATCTGACGACAGAAGAACGCCAAGAACTCTTGAATGAAGAACACCAAGAAACTTGGCGAGATATGTTTTCTTCTGAAAAAGAGGATTAATGTCGATATCTGTTATTAAAGATCCTTTGAAAAAGTGGGAGGATGTCAGATCAACGGTCTTAGAATGGCATCCGAACCAGGTTGAGGCTTGGGGATTTCTACAATTGCAATTCTATTAATTATTTACAAAAAATCCTGAAGAAGAGAGAAAAGCAATCGACATTAGATAGATTCTTTAACCCTTTCAAACAGAAAAAACATGACTAATAAAAATGCAAGACTGTATATGTATGTATTTTTATTATTACGTATAAATAAACGTAGTAAGAAAGTATATATTTTTTTATTTTTGGGGGTCTCCAGAACGAATTAATTAAATTCCCATTAAAACCTATGGTAAATCGATAATCGGTTAACGAACAATTCGGATAGTGAACAAAGTCTTGGAACGGATTACGTTCATTAACCAATCACCCACTGTATTTTTATTTTTTAAAAGATTGTATCATAATTTATATAGCATGCAATTATATATATTTACCATGTTGTATTTTTACTAATCCAAACTAAGTATTGTACAGGGTTATTTGGATATATAAAGGAAATCAAAAACGACTATAGACATACATTAAATGTTAAAAAAAATTTATTTTATCAATATGACACATGACAAATATATATAATTGATGACAAACTGACCTTTCATGTGTTTCCCGCAATGCTGTCAACATAAGTGATAAAAAGCAAACATTTTTGGCCTCATTCAGGGGCCAGCATCAGGCTTCTATAGAAGATTCTCTTCTTTCTTATTTTTTTTTTAGCTGAACTTTTGGAATTTGGAATGATTTTCAAAACTCAAAATTCTGGAACAAGATATATTTAATCAACCAAGCTGTCTATATTTTTTCATTACATCATTCAGTTAAAAACGAATAAGAAAGAAGAGAATCTTTTATAGAAGCTTAATTTTGGCCTCTGAATGAGGCTGAAAATGTTTTTTTTTTTTTGTTTAGATTGACAGCATTGCTGGAAATGTACGAAAGGTCAGTTTGTCATTGATTATACAGTAGTTTCAGCTTTAAGGAAGAGTAATCCTGTATATATGAGTAGTAGATATTAATTTTATAAAACTTTTAGGTTTTGATAACAATTTTTTTAAGTACAAAAACTATCAAGTCTAAATAAATTTATTTTTGTTTGTATTATGATTAGTGGAGAGCTTCTTATTGTTTTATTAAAAACTAAAATTCTTATAGCAAAAATTTTTTGAAAATAGTAAATAAAATATCACAATTTAATAAGCACATTTTATCTGAAACTACAGATTACTGTAATTTATTTGTTATAATTTAATAAAATAAAATTTAAAATTATATAAAATTTAAGTTTATTAGTTAACTTAAAATAAACTTAATAAATACAAATTTGATTTGGATTTTTATTTATGAAAACAATAAATTAATGAAAGGCTAAAAAGAATGGCAAAAAAAGGACCAAGAGTCTTTTTAGAAAGGCTCTTAAAGTCCTTTTTCCATTCTCACTGTGGATTTGGCTATACCTTTAATGGCAGTGGCTGGGTGGTGTTGGACAGAGCCTGACTAATCTGGTCCGAACATCCATAAAAAAATTCTTAAGGTTCCTGAACCAACACTCTTAGATTTAGATTAGCAAGAGTGAACTATAATTCATTAAAAGATTCATTTTTGTTTACATAATTTTTATTTATATATACTAATTGTATAGATCATTATTGGTATGTATAGAAATAAACATATGTAAAATAATTTTTTAATTAAGTAGACTTGATTGTATCATTGGCATTTTAATTTCTTTTTATTAAGTCTAGTATATTCATGAAAAAATATATTTCATAAAATATATAAGTAAAATAACTATTTACTTGAAATAATACATAATTATTAATTATGTATTATATTATTAATAATTATTAATATTATAGAGTCTTGCACAATTATTATGTGAATTGAAAGAACAAAATAAATCTTTGATGTTTGAAGTAAATGATCTGAAACAGAAACTGAGTGATGCGCAAGGAGATATTAAAGTAAGTTTATCATTTAATATTAAAATTTTCTTTTTATATTGAGTTCTTAATAAGCATAAGATACAAAACTATAAACTTTTTGCTTTTTGATGCAAATTTCAGTTTATTAAACGTATTGTGCTGATCTTAGATTTAAAATGGAAGTTATTAGTCATAAAGGTAGGGAGTTAAGCTGCTTACTTTTAGGCCAAGTTATAATTTAATTTTGGCTTGTAAATAATTCAGATTTAACATATAATAATGATTTTAAAGTTAGATATTGACAATACTATTATTTTATGTGTACAACTGATTGAGAATTTTTGAATTATTATACAGACTGCAAGAGACACTTTAATTTATTTAAGTAGCCAGTTTTCATTCAAGAAATATTTAAGAATACATTAAAACAAATCTAACTTCTATTAAAACTTTTAATCAGTTTTATTCCGGTCAGATAGTAAAAAACTTTTATTGTATAAATAAATTCTATTGGTTTGAAGGTTTTCCTTTTAATTACATGAAATATATATTTAGAATTTTATAATATACAGTCAACCCTCCCCCCTATAATGTGGGTTCATATAATGCGGATTTGTATATTGCGGCAAAAAAATTGCGACTATTCGTATAAAGACGCTAAAAGAGACTCGTAAAATGCAGTAAATGGTCATCGCCGACTCGTGTCGCAACAGGATTGGTCAAATCTGGACCAATAGTGGACGAACAGCCAAACTACTTACACGCTACGGAGAGTTTAGGTGGGTAAGTTGAGTTTACTATCGTCTGTACAGTATATAAATCAGGTACTGTAAGTCTAATACAGTACTGTAATTTTATACATTTCTTGTGAAAAAAACATTTCTTATTCAACGGCCATAAAAATTATTTCTATTAATGATGTCTCCAAAGTTCAAAGAATTTTTTGTAGAAAAATAACTTATCAGAAAACGCGTCCACCGTTCGGTGCACTGCTCTGCAACAAAAACAAGCTTAAGCATTGGCATTGTCAAATGGTGCACACACAGTAAGTAATCCTACAATTTTTTGTTTATAGTGTAGTTTATATGGATTGTTCCCAAAAAATTATATGTTTTTTGGAAATGTTGAATATAATTAGTCTAGAATCGATTAATTTTATGGAAAAACCTTTCAAACAGCCGTAGTCCGTAAACAGCACACATGCTGGACTGTGATTGGCTCATGTATTTAAGGATTCCTACAATGTGAAATTCTTATAAAGTGGAACATATCTATCACATTATAGGGGGTCGACTGTATTAAATATGTAGCTGTAAAAGGAAAAGAAACAAAATAAACAATATTTTAGATTTAAGCTATTCTCAAGTATTTGAGATGAATATATTTTTATATCTACAAGTCAAGCATTTTTGTATTGTATAGCTTTATCAGATAAATTTAATAGAACATAACTCTCAGTTAAACCTCAGTATAGTGTTCTCTTAAATAGTGTCAATGAATATTTGTGAACAGATCATCATAAATGTTAGAGAATCCTATGCTATCTCTGAATCAGTCATTCAGAATGAGCTGTTTAATAATTTTTGCTTCTTTTTACTTTAATTTGTTAAATTCATTAATATTATCATTTTGTACATCAAAAACTAGATGCCACGTTATATAAAATATGCACTATATATATTGTATGCCATAATGATAAAAAAAATAGGTATTAACTTTATTGATTACTTTTCATTTTGTTCTCTGTTAGTCACTTTATGAAATTTTAATTTGTCTATATCATGAGAGAGACATAATTAGTATTTATTGAAAGATAATTTTATTATTTAAAATAAAATTTTATTTATTAATGATGATTAGTTATTAAGAGAACAAATTGCAAGACAACGGCTTGGCTCGGCTGATGAAGGTGTTGTTATTCGTCATTTTCCAGCTTATGAAAGAGAAGATCTGGTAAAACAACTTGAAGCTGTAAGACAAAAAGTAAGAAAGATTTTATATATAAAGGATTCTATAATCCATTTTTATACATAATATTGTTTATTTTAGTGTTTTATGCTAGAAAAAGATCTACAAGCAGTTCTTGATGAAAAAGAGGAGTTAGTTACTGCCAGAGATGCATATTGTCATAAAGTAGATCGGCTCAACCATCAGTTAAACTGCATGCTTCGAGGAGACAAAGAACAGATAGTGGACATTGATGCTATTTTAATGGATAATAGGTACAGTACCTTTGTAATTTATAAAAAATGAACTAGAAGTTTCTACAAAGTTTCAGAGAATTAAAATAGTAAATAATAAATGTACAATATTTACTTGAATCTAAGATGTACCTTAATTTCTACATGCTCATCCATAAATTTTTATTTTTTGAAAATATAGACAACAGTACTGATTAAATTGACAAATTTATTTAGTATTTACTGCATAGCAAAGTAAGTTATATATTGCTGTCTTTCATGATATTGAAGTCAGAAATCTCTTCACTTTCTCTGTTAGGCTCTTCTGAATCAATACTGGATTCAATGCTCACATCTTCCCACATACAATCATTCTCAGTGCTGTCTGAAGCATTGAAAGTGCAATGTTTTTTGAAACAGTGATGCACAATTTTTTCTTGGATTTTTATCTGAATACTTACCGCACTGATGCAATAGACTAATGAGCAGTGGTGATATTCGAAATATTTAACGAAGGGTTCGCTAACAAAAAATTTTTCCTTAACAATTTTTTTCGCTCAAATGGTGCATTAGCAACATTAGCGCAAAAACTGACCATAAGATACCCATATAAATAAAGAAGATGCGTTCGCAAAATTAAATCAGTTAAAATTTAACATTGTTTATGCCAGAACTATATTTTTTTTATAAATAAAAAAAAAGTGTTCAAAATGGTTTATTTTGTACATATTTTAATATTTTTCATTCAAAATATTTTATAAACATAAAAATTGGCTTTTT